CTCGCGTGACGGAGCCCCTCAGAAGGGTTTGAAGGGAGGGCGGTACTAAGGCGCGGCAACACCCAATCGGAAGGCGCCAGACGCCGCGCGCCGTGAGCGACACCCCTCCGGACCAACCGAAACGCGTGGCTCCTGGATGCGATTTGATCGACAGTGCCCTCACCCTATCAACGCTCTCAGCCCCGGCGAAGCCCCTGATTGACGTCCCCATAAACCAATCAGCTCGCGGAGAGTTCAGGAAGCGGGGCGGGTCGGCACGCTCTGACCGCCTGGGCGTGCGCTCTCAGGGCAGCATGCTGGGAGCGCGTGACGCGCCTCTGACTGACGCGCCCCGGGACCAATAGCGCGGCGCGGCCTTCCCGGCGCGCCCAATGGGCGCGCGCGGAGCGGGCGGGGTGGGCGGGCGCGGCGGCCGCGGCTGGGGTAGGGTGTGAGAAGTTAGTGGCGCTGCCGCGGTGCCGTGAGGGGGGAACGGGAGACGGCCGGGCCCGGACCAGCGCGATGCTCACGGACGGCACCGCCGCCGCCGCCGACGAGGAGATCGACTCGGTCGCGCCCCGCGCGCCGCCCGCCGCCGCCGCCGCCGAGCCGCCCGCCGCGGCCGGGCCCTCCCCGCTGGGCCTGCGGGCCGTGCGCCTCTTCGGCGAGGCCGGGCCCGGCGGGCCGGGGGGCCCCGGCGCGCCCGCGGCCGGAGAGGCCGCCCTCGACTTCAAGCTGGCGGCCGCCGTGCTGCGGAGCGGCGGCGGGGGCGGCGGCGGCGGCTCCGGCAGCGACGAGGACGAGGTGTCCGAGGTGAGCGATCCCGGCCCGCCCTCACTCCCTCCCCTCCGCTCCGCCGCTTCCTGACAGGCCGGGCCGGGCTCCCCGGGGCCCGCCCGCCGCGCACCCGCCGGTGCCGGGGCTGCCGCGGCCATGGGCGGGTCCCGCGCGGCGGGCGCGGGGAGGGGGCGGCGGGCGCGGGGGTCGCCCCCCCCCCCGGGGGTGGCCCGGCCCCGCTGCCTCCGGGATGTGCCCGGGAGCGGCTCCCAGCTGGAGGCAGGTTTGGAAGGGGGGACGGCGGGAGATCCTGCACCCGGAGGAGAACAAAGTGGAGCCGCCCCCCCGCCTACCTACCCCCTGTTGCTGCCCCGGGCTGGTGGTGCCCAGGCGCTGATAAAATTCCTCTCTGCGTTATATATATATAAATATATATATATATATATCTGTGCACACGCACGCTTTTTTGTGCAATAGCAGTATCTCTTGCCCAACAAAATGGAAGAGAGGGTAATGGAGGTGCCTGCCTTTGATCTTGCAAACCTGCGCGGAGTTTCAGGGGGAGGCTGTGGGGGAGGGAAGGACCGGGGCCTTATCCCGACCCACACGGAGCATTGTTGGACCTGTAAAATTGAATCTAATACTGCTTTGTGTAGCCCAGGGAGAGAAGGTAAAGGAAGGCTTTTATCTCTCACTGCTGCCCGCTCCTCCTTCACCAAAAGGTGAATGCTTGTTGTCTCTTTTACAAGAGGTCACAGAAGCATCACAGCCCTTTCTGTAGTTTTAGTGGAAAGCAGGAGAAAGTGGCTGACACTCCCAGGCTTGTTGCAGTGCCTGTGTTTTGGGCTTCTGCAGGAGGAAGGAATTGGCCAAGGTGACACCATTTTCAGTTTGGGGTCCAGGTAGTTCACACAGTCCCTCTGAAGAGGTGAGCCCACACTCACCTTCCCGTGGCTACATTTTTTGCCTTCTGTTGATGGTCCTCTTTTGTCCAGCCTTCCTTGAAACCTGAACTGACAGGTCTTATCAGAATAAAAAGAAGTGATTAAACTGACACAGACCCACATTTGCATTTTGCTCCTGACCACCTAACCTACATTAGAAATGGTGTTAACAGCAGGGCATTTAACTCAACTAAAAATCCAGTGATCAGGCAGATGAGCCCTGGCATGTGAGTGTTCCTTGTGTGATGGGTGTCCTGAACATACATGTTCAGTCCCACATGGGATTAGGTGTTCCAGCACATACCTGTTTTGGAGAGCTGGAAGACCTACTGTAGGTAGAATAGGACTCAAATAACTGATGCTCTCTTGTGCTCTCTGGGACGTCTTTCATGTCACATTTTAATGCATCTTTGAAGATACAAATCAGTAGCTATAGAACCTGGAAGAGGATGGGAATTGTGCTGTATCAGGGTGTTTGTGGCTCTTTACAAGGTGAGCAGAGTCCTGCTTTGAGAGCTTATCCCTTCTGAACCCACCCCATTATTTAAAGGATGTGAAGATTGGACAGCTAAGGTGTTTATTAAGCACTCTTTTGACTAATAGCAAGTATTAAGAAAGACAGCCTATTATAAATAATGTGTCTGGGAGGTTGGCATTGAGGTAAAAAAAAAAAAAAAAGGTTCCCAAACAGCTGTTAAATGACTCCTTTGAAAAACCTGGGAAAACCTTTCTTACTTAAAATATAGACTAGAAAAAGTAAAGTTGGAATTAAAACCCTTGGAGGTTTCCAGAACACATGGAGAGGAGGTGGGCTAATCTCAAAGCTGTAATTGCCTGGAGAGTTCTGTCTTGTGTTTCTGGTTGTGGGGAGTTACCTGGGGAAGAAGCAGGAGTGGGAAGAATGTGCCTCCCATCTGTGCTGCTGTGCTGGGCTACAGGGAATGTCTGGGAGCACCAAGGGGGGAAATTTTTTTTTTCCAATTTTTTTTCCCCGAGAACTAAAGAAGCACCTGTTGTCAGTGGTGGTTTTTTGGTTTCGTTGATGTTTTTTCTTTTGGGTGGTTTTTGGTTAGGTTTTTTTGGGGGGGGAGGAGGGGGGTATTTATTGGTTTTTTGGGGCAAAGCAAAGGCAGTTCAGGTCCAGGGATGGAACATTGCAATTCTTGAACAGCGCTGCTTTGAGAACCCAGTCAGTGACTGTTTGGACTGTGGTCTTGTGCCATGAGTCACTGATTTGGGTGTATGCCTTCAGCTATTACCAGTGGGTGGAATTAGTGAGAACTAGAAGGGAGAATTATATAAAAAAAAAGTGAGTATTTGCCATGCTGCCTTGATCTGTACTCTTCTCTCTACTTTTGAAGTCATAAAAATAATGGTACAATATTCTGTAGGCTCTGCTGCATGCCTGTGGGGTGGTAATTAGGGTTTGTATTCTTCTATTAGTCTGAGTTTAATATGCTAAAATAATTGAATTAGTCAAAATGGCAAATTGGGGAAGAAAAGAAAATCATCGGGGAAGCGCGGGACAAAGAGTGTAAGGAAGCACTTATCCAGAGAGTGAAAAGAGCAGTGTATTTTAGCCTAACCTTTTTGAAGATACATTGCATTTCTGAGATCAGATCTCCAGGTGCTTTACCAAGTGGAGAGTGCTGTCCCCATTTTACAGGTGAAGAGGGTGTGCCACACTTATCCTGCCTCACAGAACTGGGAGAAAATCAAAGCTTTTTGGTCTAGCTCGGTTTTTTCCTATGGTAGTGCCCAGTTTGGGATACCAGGGGCTGAAGTGGATCCTGTACAAATTAGTTGTGTCAGGTCCACGAGGTGAAATTCAAATGCAGCTGTGCAGAATATTTTCTAGAATTGCCAGTTAAAATTATCTCATGCAAATAGAAACAATTGCAAGCCAAAGCTCGCCTTTGGGCATGGAGGGAAGAGGCCAGGAGGGCTGTGCTGTTCCTGGGTAAAACAGGGAGCTGTGGATCTCCTGGGCACTCAGAGAGGCTTCCACCACCAGAGAGATGAGGTGGTTTTGACCTCAGTGCAAATAATTGCTTTAGTTGCCTTCTGAGCATGATCAGGGTTTGAACACAGCCCTGTTCACAGCCTTGAACACAACTTGCTCAGAGTGAGATTTTTGGTGTGACTTCAAGTGTTATTATTACCACTCCTTGTGAATTTTGCTGGCACTTCCAGTGGTGCCAAAGGCACGAGCCTTAAAGAACCTCCTCCCCCCGGCTGTGAGGGCTGTAGGTCAAGGTGAAGGTGTGCTGGGAGGTCAGTGATGAACAGGGTGTGTCCGTGGGGTTTTTGTTGGCCATAGAACACGCAGGTCCTCACCAAAAACCCTCCTGGCAGCAAAGGGTGAAGCAGGTGATAAATGTGGCCTTGTTAATGCTCAGGGATGGTGCGTTTGCTGAGCTGTTGTAAATCAAGCAGGAGAGGCCAGCTGTGCCCACGGATCCAGGGGATCTGGGAGCTTGGTTCAGTAAGTGGCTTTTGGCAGGGAGTGTATAAATGTGGCAAATCTCTTGTATTCTGTAATTCAGGGGCTGGGAGGCCTTCAATGACAGCTGGAGCTCACCCAGCCCTTGGCTATGGAGTGAGCTCAGCTCTCCTTCCCTCTCCAGAGCTGCCTCCACCAACTCGCCTTACTTAAGCCTGTACCTATTGCATAAGCCTCTGGGGATATTTACATAAAGCATAATTAAAGATCAGACATAACATCCCTCCTACAAGGAGTACAGTGAATAGTCCAATGACACGCTCTCCAGAGCACTTCAGTACCTGGAGATTTTGTCTGGGGTCTCCCTCCCCAATCTGAGATCTCATAGTTTTTAAACTGGCTTTTAAATTCAGTGTAAACACATAATTGTTTCAAATTGGCAGTGTTGTCCATTAAAGCCATTGCTGTGTTATTGAACCTTCCTTAAGTGGGTCTGCTTTGTAAATGGTGTGCACAGTTTGACTTCTGAGGTTAATGAAATGCTCACATTTTAGTTTTCTGTTTTGTATTGGAAACAATGTAAATAGCAGCATTTTCTTTACCATAAGAAATAGAAATGCAAAAAGCAGATGCTAGTTCAGGTGGATAATACTAAGCAGAAAAGCCTTTTCTCTGAAAAACGTAGGTTTTAGTTCAGCAGTTGATGTTTTTCTAGTTTTCAGTAGCTCATTGAAAGTTGAGGAGGTAAGACATGGAACAAGATGGAAAATTTTCTTGCAGGAATTATTCACTGATTAGAAAAAATCAAGAAGAGAACATGTTCAGGTTTCCAGAAGTATTGAGGTGACTCTTCAGGATGCAGAGGGTTGGTTAGTAGGTTGTTAATTTATTCCCAGCCTGATTAGGCATCTAACTTCTGGAAAAGTCTTGGTAGGTATCTCAGTAACTTTGCAAGTCTGACCTGTGGTAGCCAGAAACAATCACTGTAGTGATGGTTAATAGTTACTGTCCAATAACACTTTCAAATGAACTGATTTCTGAGGTTTCTTGCAGAACTCGGGTCCTTCCTTCAGTGCAGCTTGACCCAGTTGAGTACATGACCTAAAATAAATGTCAGCAACTGTTCTCTAATGATAGGTGTAGAAAGTAAAGATGTGAAGTACTACTGTATAATTACATAAATATGCAGTGCAACCCCTGG